ACATCGGGCGCTGCACTGGATGTGTTGGTAGGGGTAACGTCCGAGTATTTTCTTAATGTCGGTCGAACGCTACGATTTATGTGCGACAAGTATGCGAAGAGCATGACGCCAGAGGTACCTCTCACCTTGTCCCTTTCGTCGTTAACTCACTAGTAGCGTGTGATAGGAAATCATCCTGCATACACTCTTCGAGAGTGGAGTCACGAGAATCCAAGATCTTGAGCGGTACATCAAGGACGATGTCGTCCGGCACGGTTCACGCCTTGTTGACCTCGAGAAAAAGCTTGTTGGAGCATACCGCGAAGCTGTTAGTCGATCTTTCTCCCTACTCTTGGCTAATATCCCCAGTATTTACCACATGCACAGACGCAAGTAGAAGTTCTCGACGACGATGCGCTGTTTGCTGGTGAAGATGACGAAGAGGACGAAAGTGCGTTTGTCATGGGTGGGTTTTCTGACTCACTTGGTGATGACTTTCTCGGGTTACGGGAGCTTGGCATTGCTGCCGAATTGGGGTTATCAAGTCTCACTATCCCAAAGAAGCTACTCAAAGGGAAATCACGGGGAGCAGCAGGGGCCGCTATCGAGTACGTCTTATATATTCAGTCTCCCGATTTGTTGTCTGATTTGATTCCACCCTCAGAGCAAAACCCAAAGAACCACCACCGCCATATCCACCACCGCCTCCCTTACTTCCTATCACAAGCAAGAATGTGGGCGACCAGATTGGGTTATTGCGTCCCTACTTTCAAGTGCGGCTTGCATCACTCGCACCTCCTGGCACCCTCCAAGGTCTTCCTTATCTCCCACCGGGCCCTCAATTTGGCTTCCTTCCTCACCCTGGCGTTCTACCATTACCTTATGTACCAAGTTCGTCAGGCGATTTCGCACGCATCATCACGATCCCAGACGATGCACCGGCACCTGCACAGGCAAAGCTTGGACCCTTGGGTCAGGTACTCAAGACAGGCGCTGCTGCAGGGGCTGTCAAGAAGAAGAACAAAGCGAAAGAGCCAGGGCCGATGTCAGGGCCTGGTATGTCGGATGCCGTTCCAGTGGAACCGATGCGTGCATTCAGTGGGTTTGGGGCGGAGGGAAAAGATGTTGGCGGAACTGGAGCTGGCAATGGTGGCACCAATGGGCTGAGTGGAGGGAGCAGTGCAGCAGGGAGTGGAGCGACCTTAGGTATGGCGGGAGGAAGCAAGAAGAAACCGAGTCCACAAGGGCAGGGCAGGGCGATGGAGCTTCCGCCTGTCATTGCTGCGAGCGCGTGAGAGAGGGTCGTGCTATTACATACATACTTACACTTTATATTCGCATGGTCATTAGCATTGCTGTCCGTACTGTGCATTTGTGGATCATACACTATACCTGTAGCATTATTCTATGTATTGAACTGGACGCAAGTTGGATTCGTGTGTGGGTCGCGTGCCAAGTCTTGGAACGTTACCTGGTACTACAACGTGTCGTGAATCGTCCGTGAATTCGAAGCTGAAAAGTTCTTTCAACCTAGAGGTTGAGCATATAATCAGATATGCCAAGAGGTGTGCACTGCGCATCGTTAACTTGACTCATACGCCTATGCATCACATTTCCGGGACCGACGGTCGACTCAACTCTCGGAAACGCCAATTACATAATTGGCCAGCGTAGTCAGCCAAGTAAAATCGTTGTTGCAAGTAACCTACAAACCTAACTCGAAACAATTATCCAAAATGACAGGATCCCCGACAAATGATCCCAGCTGTGATATTCATTCTTGCAATAAACCATTAGTGCGCGACATTTGATTACCTCGTCACGACCCGCCGCTAGAAACTAGTCCCAGTGGCCTGATCTCTGTGCAAGTTGTGGTTTTTAAATTATCTGTTCGGATTCAACGTCTTCAATCCTACTTTGCTCATGAAAGTGTCGTGAATATGCCATTCGTTCCCATCTTGGCATTACTAGTGTCGAGCACAAGTTCTCGTTCATTGTTCTGCCAGTGCGGACCCGTGCCATTTTCTGCTGTGGCCTGTCAGGTTTTGCACAACGGTCTTCGTCTCAGATCTGAGTCATCATCCCATTTTCATTCATGCACCACCCATGTCATATTATTCCTGACAGTTCATGTGCGTGATTTCGCGGATGTTAGTGGTGAATCTTTTGTGATCGCCGCATCTCAGGACGAGCTTTACCGATTATAGCTTCGAAGGATCTTGCATCGACTCATGCGTTGTGCATTTCAGCTGTTATCCCTTGCACTTGCCTCATTACAGAGCCCAGTGGGGCCTCTGCAGTATTTTCTTTGGTTGCATCTGTTCTGGGGTCGGACTTCGTTATCTCCTCTTTTGCGACGAGATTTATGACCAGTGACCAGTCAAACGTCTGTCTATGTAACGTTCGTATCCTTCGTTCATATCACTGTCTATGGTACTATAAATATTACAATTTTGTACAGCATGCTGTAGATACTCGAGCAACGTGAAATACGTGTACAGCGGCAAGACAGCGTGGCATGTCGCATCTTGAGATCGTCACCTTCAGACTCGTGACTGAGATGATACTGGAGTCTGGAGAAGATGTTCCTATATGCGCAGGTCAGGCTTTGCTGTTGTAAGTCTAGAGAACGTTGGAAACTACCCACCATCGCAAGTTTCTGGCCTTCGGATAAAATAGTGAGACAAGACTGCAGATCCTTCAAACTCCACTGTTTTTCGAGCCAGGAGAGGAGACTACGGTTCCAGAAAGACTTGAACAGATGGACGAGCTCCACATCCCACGGATTTGAAGCTCGCGAGAGATGGATAGCCCAGTTTTGACATGCATAGTTGAGGGCTTCTGCAGTTGATCGACTGCGTGCGCGTGCTTCGTATGCGAAAGTTGAAAAAGCTTTCATAGCATGAATGATCTCCATATCTGGTAGTAATGCGGAGGTGGAATGGTTTTGGTGCCTTAACGCCAGGAATGCCGGGAACATCAAGAAATCGGGAAGGGACTTGAACTGCTGGATTGCTTGAAAAGCTGGCTGCAAATGCAGTTCCGGGGCGATTATGTACTCCCTGATTGCTTCTAATGTGCTCGAAAATTCTTCGACGGTCACCCAGATAGTCGTCAAACGCCATGTTTGACCATGTGGTGTTTGCAACCAGTCTTGGCCACCCTGAGTCTGCAACCAGCCTCGACCATACTTCTGCAGCCAGTCTTGGCCACCCTGGGTCTGTAGCCAGTCTCGCCCGCCCGAGGTCTGCAGCCAGTCTTGACCGCCTGTGTCCTTCAGCCAATTTCTCCCATTTCGGGTTGGCAGCCAGTCCCACCCTCCACGGTACTGCATCCACTCTCGCCCGTTAAGAGTTTGTAGCCAATGTAGGCTACCTGGGACCTTTAACCAAGCCCCGTCGTCCGGGCTCTGCAGCTGATCTCCCCTGTTTGGGGATGATTGTGAGGATAGCTGGGTGATCGGTGCATACGATACAGAAGATAGCAATGAGGGCTGGGTAAACGACTCAGGCAGGGTCTGAAACCACTCCCGACCGCTCGGGGTCTGCAGCCACTCTTGCACGCCTGGAGTTTGCAGCCAGCCTTGACCACCCGATGACCGTATCCAGGCATAGCCGCCTGAGGTATGCAGCCATTCTCGTCCGCTCGAAGTCTGCAGCCAGGCGCGCCCATCCACAGACATCACCCAGGCACGCCCACCCAGGGTCTGTAGCCAGTTTCTCCCGCCCGCAGTCTGCAACAGCTCTCGCCCGTCCTGGGTCTGCAGCCACTCTTTCCCAGCTATAGTCTTCAGCCAGTTGTTTCTGCCTGGCGTCTGCAGCCACTCTTTCCCATCTCCCGTTTGCAGCCAGGCTAGCTCGTCCAGGTTTAAATGCTCCTCTTCATCGTCCGAGTTGTTGTTTGACTGGTTATGTACGAATTTTTTGAGGCCCGACGAAGATCGCATCAAACTCGTCGCATCGCGCACTATTAATCGTCTGACCAAGGCGGATCGCCTGCCCTGCGGACTTACTCCGCCATCCTGGGTCAGCAGCCACTCCCAGCCGCCCGGGGTCATCAGCCACTCCCGTCCATGAACGGTTTGGATCCAAAATTGCCCAGCCGGGGTATTCATCCAGGCTTTCCCATCTGCAGTTCGCAGCCAGTCCTTCCCACCTGGGGTCTTCAGCCAGTCATTCCCGCCCGCAGTCTGCAACCAGTCTCTATGGTCCCCGACTTGCAGCCAGTTTCGCCCAGCCATGGTCTGTAGCCAATCTTGTGCACCCGAGGTCTTCAGCCAATCTTGCACGCTCGAGGTCTCCAGCCAATCTTTCCCAGTCTCCAGCCAATCTTTCCCGCCCGGTGTCTCCAGCCAGTCTCGTATGCCCGGTGTCTTCAGCCAAATCTGTCCGCGCTCGGTCAGCAGCCACTCCCGCACACCCGGCGTCTGAAGCCACTTTCGTCCACCTTGAGTCTCCACCCAGGTTTCCACGTCTGGGGTCTGCAGCCAGTCTCGTCCGTACTTGGTCTGCAGCCAGTCTATTCCAGACTGAGTTTGTAGCCAGTTCAACCCACCCTGGGTCTGCACCCAGACTTTTATGGCTGGGGTCTGCAGCCAGTCTAGTCCGCCCGGGGTCTGCAACCAATCCCTTCCCCCCTGGGTCGATAACCACTGTCTCCCACCGTCGGTCAGCATCCAGTCTTTCCCTTCCTGAGTCTGCAGCCAGGCATGTCCATCCAGAGTCTCTAGCCAGAATTGCAGCTCTGAGTCACGATGTCCACGAAGCCATAGCAGACCTATAAGAACTTGCAGTGACTCTGGTGGCTGGACGATGAAGGATAATGAGTTTTTAAAATTCTGGGGGTCCTGGGGTTGCGTGGCTTGACTGTGCTTCTTCAATTCTGAAAGTGCATCTAGGAGGGCCGTGCGATCTGGAAGGTCTCGCATCATCAAGCGGAAAGAGGAAATGGCGAGTAGAGAGTGGGGTGATTGGATGTATTGTACTTGACGGAGGCTGCAGTTTGAACGGTGGGAAACATAGTCACGAACGGACGAATGATAGATATTCACGGGGAGACTGCTGTCGGTGGGAACATCTATGATAGATCGTAGCTGCGTAAGCACTGTCTCGACGTCCCTGCCCCTGGCCAGGGCCAAGAAGTTTTGATATCTGCGACATCGGAAGTGGGTCTGCAAGGGCAGCAACGACGGACAAGTGCAGATATGCTAGCGTCGGGTCGGCACACGTGGAGAGGATGCGGTCGTAGAGCTTGTACACTTCCGTTCCTGGTAGCATTTTGCTTGTTAGCTCGAGCATGAGCTGGAGTCGATCACGGGGATCATGTTTTCGATCGTCAATGAACTTCATCATCGTAGATGCAACAATGAAACGTCTTCCTGCTCGGCTCGCTAGCCGTGCAAGTTGATCGCCCGATGGCTGTGGGAAATCTGGATGGCGACTCTCCAGCTCTCTGAATGAGTGCTGCAAGAAAACGTATATGTCATTGTCAACATCTGCGCCGTCTAACGAGATGGTGGCAGCAACGCCCTTCCCAGAAATCTTCACTGGTATCTCGTACACCAGCGGGTGCATCTCTTCAGTCTGCATAGCTTTGCGGATATGCTCTTCCGAGCGACTTGTGAGCAAAATGTGGACGATGGGCAGATCGGGTTCACAAAGAGCTTCGCCAAGCATGTAGACAAGGTCAGCGAGCTCGCTTTCGGAGGTGGGTTCATCGAGGGATTCAGATTCGAGTGATTCGGGTGTGCATTCGTCAAGGGCATCAACAACAAACACCAAAGGCGGACACTCGCGAAGTCTGAGAAAAAGCTTCCGGAGAGGTCGGAGAAACAACGCCTCCATCTGATCCCGAAGAGACTTGTCAGGGTCTAGAAGGGCGGGATTCTCAATGATAGCTTTGTTCAAATCCCCCCGGATGCTGGGAAAGTTGGTAGCAAGCTGGTAGGCAAGCGTCGCAAAGAGATATCCAGTAGTGCGGCGTTTCGTGTGCTTGCGCGAGAAAAAGAATGTCCCCCCAAGTCGTTTTTCTACTTTCGTCTCCTTTGTCATTTTCAGACCTTTCATCTTTTCAGCTACAGTGAACGCAACAGCAGACTTTCCGACGCCTGCCGTGCCGTGCAGCCAGATGATACGATTTTTCTCTTTCTTGTCTAATAACCCATAGATGAAGTCGAGGAGGTCCACCCGGGTTCCTTTCAGACATTTTGGATGGGGTTGACGTTCACGGGAGTCGTATTCAGCACCCTTGACAGCAACCTGGGAAAGCTTCTCCCAAGTTCCTTCGATTGATTGAAGATCGCCACGAACTGTTAATGAGGTTAGAATATGAAAGACATAATACTAGGAAATGGAATGTTGACATTGATCCTGGTAACTCATCATGGAAGGTTGATGATAAGACACGACTAGTGAGTTTTGGAATAGAAACACTAGCACTGGTGTTCAAGAATCAACAGTATGATTATGTTAGACATCATATTGGTTATCTCGAGGGAAGACGTACGAAAACGCTGATCGAAAAAGCCTAAGCTGCAACTTGAAACTTTGAGGGAAGAGGGGAAGGATATTTGATAAGTCGTGAAACAATTGGCGTCGTTAGTTTGTCTGACGGTAACGATCCGAGCAAAGATCAGGCTGTGAAGCAACTGTAAAATGAGTACAAATCCGAAGGGTGCTCGGATGGATGCTCGAATTGATTCCAGTATGTACTTGCTGTGCGTGCTGTGTGTGGCATGGCGTACGGCCAGCGCCGAGCGCTCAAGCTCAAGCGCTCATCGCAGAGATATGCACAGTAAGCGCTTAGCTAGCTCAAGGTATTTGATTGTGCGTCGAAGACTTGAAGTGACACGAGTCTGAGCTGAGAGCAATTCTCAAGAGTACTGACTCGGAAGGCTAACTTGAATACTCAGTATTACTAAGTAGTCAATTTTAACCTGTTGCCATTCTATAGCTGCTCATACGTCAGACCGTTCTGATCAGAGCTTACTTGAGGTGTCCATTCAAAAGGAACGAGTAACACGATAATTATATAGGAAAAAATGATGCCGTCAGATGCTACCGGGCCTTCGAGCTCGCAGCCATGATAGGCTGTCATCTATGCCATAGACTCGGAAGGCCGGTACTCAATCAACGAGTTACAGAGGAACCTATCGCTTTATTTCAAGTCCGCTAGTAGCCTCCTCACGAGCTGATCCGGGATTGAGACTAGGATGCTGTAACAAGGCAGTAAGAATGGAAGCCTTGTCAAGAACTACGCCACACAGCCAGGTGTACCCTTCTGAAAATTTAGTTGAGAAGACAAGTATCTAGACCTCCGACAGTGCCGACACGCCAAAGCCAACGTAACATCATATGCATCACCTCCAACCGGGTTTCAAGGCCACGCTGACGGACATGTGCATGAGGTACTGCTGTGTAACATTTAGGTCCGTGTGTTTCAGAAGGTTTGTGAAACGCTTTCACTGGCAGTGGCGAGTGGGAGTACGTACAAAGGGAAGGCCTCATTAGGTTGTAAACGAAGTCTAATGATTACGGAAGATTGTGCTAGGCCCTTCCTATTTCAGCCAGTGACTTTGATATCAAGGCCAGCCTGCACCCTATTCAAGTTGAACAGGAATTTTCTCGTGGACACTGATAAGTAAGTAAATTCCACGGAGCCACAGCGCACTGCACTTGAGCACTCGAATGGAACAATGAATTTACGTAGACTACATTTGCCTCAGGATGCGCTGGCATATCTCCGCTGTGGACAATGTGCGCCGCAGTGACTGTGGACCTTGGCGTTCAACGCCCTTTTTATCCCGGACCACAATCCACATATGGATCATCTTGGTATATAAGGTGCGTCTCAACATAAATTTATACATCATCTAACCAGCTTCACACCCTTCTTTCCCATCATGCAAGCTACTTCCCCATTTCCGTTTGGGAATCTTTCGACGGAGCTCGTCCTTCTCATCTTTGCACACGCCGCGAGACCTACTTTCGTCAAAACTAGCGACGATGTACCAAAGAATCCATATGCATCCGCCCTCTCACTATGCCGCGTCTCCAAAGTTGTCAGACGCACAGTCCTTCCCGAACTTCTACGCACAATATTGCTCCCGGAATACAACAATGTAACGGCTTTCGTCCGTGCTCTACGCATGCAGCAAATATTCTCTCTACAAGAAAATGACCTCCGTTTCGATTACGCTGGTCGCATAGACAGGATTTGGTTTGGACAAATCTGCGAACCTCCCCCACAAGCTCCCGTGCATAGCAGCTTTGCCTCATCCACCACGTCTGAGCGTGATGTTGACTTCAGCCTACTGGCGCCGGTGGTGCTATCCGCACCCTCCCTCGCACTAGACTTTGAAAGTCTGTGGCTTCTCTATGGCTGCCTCGAGTCCGCATGGAGTTCCCATGTCAACACGAACGACCCAGTCCGTGTTCCTCCACCTTGGCGCATCAAAAATTTGACGTTAGTGGGAGAATTCAATCGATGGCGCCCTCTCACAAGCACTGCCGAGGGATCCGCTTTCCTCGCATCCATTTCTCGCCTATCCTTCCTCTCCCCCGCAAGAGCACAAACTCATCTACTCCCTACCTATGATCTCTGCTTTGACGATTTAGAATATCGGAAATACCCACTGCCTGAGTGGATGACAAGCGTCCCATGGGAATCGTTCAAACACCTTCAAACAGTTTCGCTGGTGCTGCCGCGAATCGTGCTCACGGTCGCTGCCAAGACGTGTCTGAGCGAGGAGAACGTGGATGTCGAATTGTTGACGTTGTTCGATCCCCCACGCTCGGCCTACTGGGAGCCCAAGGACATAAGCGCTTACATCGAGAGTGGGGAAGGGCGTGTTGTGTCCATCGGTGTTCGTACCAAGTTAGGGTATTCTCCCATCCAGTTCACTGTTTTCTTTGATTGGGAGGAAGCTTGGACATGCGGGCTACTTAAGTAGTACCTGAAGAAGTTGTTCTCATCCATATTTGTTGAGTTTTTACTTCGTTCACACGTAGGCTATTTCCAGGATGAAGGCTTCAATCTTTTTCCTTCGTCATGCCCAGCCTTTGCGCCTCAATTACTTTCCAGACCGTATTTGTGCTGAAGGCTCAGGTTTACTTCCAGCCAGCGGTTTTTTGTAGTTATTTATTGCAATATGTTCTTATCAATTTTCAAGTGTTCATGCACATGATTGGTGTTAATCTACAAAATTCACGGACAACCATGTTCGAAGTTAAAGTGTACCTCCACCTCGTAGCTGTAGAAGGGGCTGGTAAGTCGAATTGAAGGCTGAGATGAACATGGTGGCTTGAACTGAACGTGAGTGCTAGAAGTCCTGCCTGGATATTATATAATCACGTTTTTATGGTTGGACAATGAAGTCGATGATCCTTCTACTCTCATAACATACTCCCTTCTACATATAATTTACCAGATGCTCACCATCAATGTTTGCAGTACAGTACACAATCGGCAAAAAAAAATCTCTGTGAGCTCCGACGATCATATTCGGACTAGGGAGGCTTGTCAGCACGAATCGACCTCGCTGCGGCTATCTCAGTTTTCGTTGTGCTCCCTTCTTGCTTCGCAATACTCTCTGTTGTCTCCGTCGTCGTGGCTTCTGGTTCTTCTCGCCACCAATAAAACTGCGTCTCGCCCCGCTCCGTGTCACTCGTGATTTCCGATCGTGAGTGGGACGTCTATTGAGTTGCCAACCTGCCGTGTATTTTGCGCAAGCGCACGGACGTTCCCGAGGCGCAGAGAATTGAGCAGTACCAGAGGCACACGGGCAGGCCCTGTGACACTAAGTACCTTGGGCCTAGCAGGTGGGAGTCATAGGGTCATATGACTGACTTCAGCGTCGGCAATCTGCGCGTACCTAAGGAAAAGCGTGTTGGCGAAAGGTTGGCGACAACAATCAAGTTCACGTACCGTGTTCAGTTGACATTGTTAGCGACATCGAGTACTCATGTCTGGCTTCGTAGCGACCGCTTTGTGCAGCGCTTTGCGTCCCTGCGAGACTGCTTGGCTTTTCACGGGATCCGACTTCAAGATAATAATTTTCCCCGTGGTACTCATTCCGGCCTTTGTGCTCAGTTAACGAATTCTCTTGTCCATTTAGCATTTCCATTGATTAAACAGCTTTGGCACACGGTCTACCTATGTAACGTTCGAAGGATCATTAAATATTCGGTTGACAAGCACCCACGTCGACCTGTACTAATCTGGAAGATCTACACATGTTGAACAAGTCACGGTGCAAGCAGAGGACTGGATGATGCATATGGATTGATCAATACACCCCCCGAAAACCTCGATTTGGCTCGAATACATGTTGTGTACATTAGACTTCTCGAACATTACCCAGAACAACAACATTCTGTGGTACAAGTTGTACAAGTACGAAGCGCGAAACGATGATGGTATACGCTATACAAGTGATACAAACAATAATCAACTGATCAATCGGGCATTGAAAATTTGTGCGGCTTAGCGGTAAAATCGAAGTGTAACCAAACATCTACCACACAAAAAAATTACCCTGGGCGAAGGCGGTTACCAAAACCATCTTTTGTCTCCCACTGTAGCAAACCACGAGTAGAAATTTCGAATGAGGTAAGCTCCTTGCCAGCAAGACGATATGCTAGCCGTAGTTCCTAAAGCCAAGATGAGAGCATCCGCACGGAATACGTCAAAAATAAGAAGATATACCTCGAACGAATGTTTGTCGAATTTGAGAGACGCCGTGATGCTCATATATGCATCTGGAGCATCAGGGCCTATGCTAGGGCGTGCGAACGCAGTTGCTGCTGAGTCGTTGGCGTAAAATGGATGGATGACCTGTGTTGGCGCATTGTCCAAAGAGGGGATCTCCGATGGAAGTGGGGTCGGAGGCATGATGTTCCCTGAAAGATATGCATAAAGCCGCAATTCCTGGATTCGATAGGCGGTCGTCAATATTCCTGAGTCGGTGGCTGGAGCAGTGAAGAAAAATAGGCCGCGGGTGCGCGATATTGTGGATACATACCTCATAGGAGAAAAAACTGAAAGTAGGCTGTGCTGTGATGCTCTGGAATTGCCCTTCGATTGGTGTCTTAGTCGCCTGAAATACTTGGATGGTGGGTAGATCACTGGTGTTTGTTATGGCTTTCTCTGCTGCAATGCTTGTGGGGCTGATGCTCGGAGTCGATTCTATTGGAATGGGAGAAAATATCGGTGGCAAGCCGAGCGCATATCTGGCATTTGGGGTAGTTGGTACTTCTGGGACTGGTACTGGTGGTCGACCGGTCGCAGTGTATGCTTTGATGTAGTCCTTCACGCGTACCTCCTGATGATGGTGTAGTACATTGAGTAGGAGCGATGGAAAATAAATGTGGTGACGCACCTCAAAGCTTTGCTCTGGTTCGGGCGGCTTCTGGACCGTGGACATGAATATCTCGTAGTCTTTTGTAGATGAGGAGGATAAAGCCATAGTTTTTGGAAGGACAAAGCGTGCCACTAGCAGAGCAGATTAGTCGTGAGTGTCCCACTGTCGTGCTCGATATTTACAAGGAAGTAATTGGTGTTAATAATTACTCGATACTGGCGCACTGGATGTGAAGGTGCCAATGTCATAATTTTATTATGTAATCCAAATTATATGTACATGCTTTGATCGATCAAAGAACGACGGCGAAGTGGCGGTTTGATTCACCTAACCTTGCTAAGCACCAATGGTATACTTGTGACGATAGTACGAGTCTCTTTCTTCAGATCCACAGTATGCCAGGTGCCGTACTTCCTCCACACATGTACACGACTGGTACTCACGAGGCAGAGGTCATTGTTCCACTTTTTTGATGTTTGAGATGTGGACAGAGAGCCACGACTTCCACACCTCTCAAAGGATAAAATGCGCGAGCATCTCCTGATCGTGAATCTGCACAACGGTCTCCATCACATTTCAAACACCCCACCTCGTTCCAATTATCGTAGTAATGTCAACGAATGATTCGACACCCGCACTGGATATTCGTCTTCCTGTCCAAACACATCGACCACTCCGAGAGCGCCGCTCTGTTCGACTCACAGTTCAAACAACATTCGAACATTCCACCGATGATCCCTTGACAGGTCACACACCCACCACCCAGGCGACACCAAGCAGTGCGCATCGCGAGTGGGATAATTTCATCCACTACGACGCACCTTTGGAATATTGTTCTAGGCGCTATCACCTCCAAGACATAACGGAATGTCTGTACGTCGCATCAGCCGACACACATGAAGTAGACACGCTTTGTGCGGAAGCTGGGGTGCCTTTCAGTCACGTCCTGCAAATAGAGCCTGTGGAAGACGTTGCAGCATCGGACTCGAGGAGCGAGGAAATGATAGAAGGTGCCTTGAAGGTGCAGAAGCTAATACTCAAGTGCCCGAGGCAGCCGGAGGGGAGAAGCGGTTGCACAATGCTCAGTGCCTCCCAGCTCCTCGCAGCACGGGACTACCTTTCCCTAATCATGCCGTATTCGAGTCGCTTCGTTCCAAAGCACCCTCCACGCTTCAATGTCCAGCTACTCGTTGTCGCACCAGCGGATCACACAGTTGATGTGATGTCGATAGTGCTGTGCTATCTCGCGTTTTCTTCTGGGCATCATGCGGAGACCGTGATGGAGCATATTGGAGAGGAGGAGTATGATGAAGTATGGGAGGGGGGGATTTCGCAAGAGGGTCTGGATTTTGTAGAGCACGTAGCGAGGGTTACATAGAACATAGGGTGGCTAGCAGGATATAGTATCGTTGTACTTCATGACGTGTGCGCCTGTAGGATATTGTTGTAAGATATTGTCAAAGGGACTCGAGGGACTTACATACATTGATATACTCGGACCAGATCGCATATCAATCTTCTCAAATGACATCTAGCCAGAAGTAACATATGTAGATCCAAAATCGAGTGTGGGTCAACTGATTCTACGAAGTCTTACATAAATTACGAGGACAGGCTGTAAGGATGTTCCGGAACTCGGTTGATACTACGTGGTGTGGACTCAAACAGCAGGTCCAGAGTCTAGGGGCAATGCATGCAGGAAATATGTCATGTCATCAATACTTGTCGCACTTGTGGTTTAGGTTACCCGTTACCGTATATCATGCTAATATGAGATAAGTATTTTATAGCAAAAACACGAGAAGCAATGCAATCACCTTGCGTGTGCGGGATTGCAAGAGCTCGAGACGCATATAGACCTAGAAGATGGAAAATGTGTAGCGGGCACAAATAATGGGCACCAGAAGCAACGTTAAGAGTTGAGATTAACCTTGAATATTATGATTCACAGAGCTAGCATGGGTGAATAATCATGAATATCAAACTGCGATACATATAAAAACGACACAATCGACACCAAGCGAGATATCAGTGAACCCCGATGAATTGTTCCCCATAGCTATCGACGCGGTCACAACATACAAATACCGAACTGTGACAAGCTAGTAAATCCACGGGCAAAGCTGACCTTAGGAAAGGGCCATCTCGGCGCAACAAGAAATCCACTGGCGGTTGTGACACCAATTTGACGAGAATAATATCTGGGATTTTGTCTTCAAGTAGTGACAAGCACGAAAACATCGAATGATTCGTTCAACGGCGCAATGTGCAAGTGGAACTGCGACACAAGACTTTTTGGAGGGGAACCATGAATATGCGAGGGTAAAAGCGTTTGGGCGCTGGCGCTGGGGCTTTCACAGGCCGATAATATGATTGTATGCGGGAGGTGGGCAACTACTGTTTTCCCCAGTTGTGACTATAATCTTTCCTTTAGGAACAATCTCAGTCGCAGCTGGGGAAGGTCGCTTGCGTGGTTCCTCACCAAAGACCTTTTGATTACTGGCGGATTATACGAAGGACCCCCCGGACCCTGAAATGCTGAAAGTGGAGGAGTGGAGGAGACAAAGTTGGTCGGGATTCGGGAACAGTGCTTTCCAGGCTTTGGCGTGGTAAGGGAACGAAGAGACGGACGAAAAAGCTATCCCTGCACCTTATACGATACATTAACGCAACTGGCAGAATGAAAACCACATTCGGTGAAGTATCCATGTTATCGAAACGTTCGAACTGACAGACGCGACACTACTTCAGTCACAGATCATCCTACCCGCACATGAACGCACATAATGCCAGCAACACTGCCCGTCTAACACCATACGCTACCCCATCCCCATAATACGACACCACCATCCTCCTTCCCGACATCTCCACGCTACAAACCAAATAATTCGCTATCAACTCTATAATCTCACAAACCAATCATATTCACTCGCCTATACGGAATCAAGGCCTCCATTGAAATCAGTCAAATCCAACAGAATCGGTCTCTCCACCACCTGAGAAACCACTCTACTACGTAATTTGCACTCAACCCGATTCCTATACCAGTCGCACTCGCGGCCGAGAACGCGTCCAGTAAAACCTTACCTACTCAGTTATTCCATTGCGCGATACTTATAAAGTCACCTTCCCTTCGAAAGATTGCATGTCTAAAACGCGCGGCAGGAACGGCGGACCGGTGGAGGCAAGCCTCACACCGGGGCATTCATGAATCTAGAGGTGCGGGGGGGCACAGGGGCCCCCAAGACTAGATAGTACTGTCTTACATAGAGTTACACTCTCAAAGACAAAAAATTGGATTAAAAAAAAAAAAAAAAGGGAACGAAGATGGATGAGGGGAGAAACATCATAAAGGTCTTCCTAGGGTGTGGGCAAGGACAAGGACAAAGCCGTCCTCAGGATGATTGGCAATAAACGAGGTAGAGGCATGAAAGAACACTCGGAGAGGGGGAGGGATTGTACGAAGTTTCTGCGAACACAGTCAGAGCCGAGTTAGAGTTTACATCCTCGATCGATCGAGGATATTTTGTGGGTAAGCAGAGGCGAAGATGCAGTGTCTAAGGGTGCCGGTCAGACCGGTGATCGACAGGCCGATCAATCTCCACGAGCCAAAGCCGTGGCTCGGCCTTAGTACTGTTGACATTTAATACACTCCAATTGGGAACCTCGTGCTTGATATCGACTGCAATGGGATGTCACAAGTCCTAAGAATGAAGACTATCAGCTCAAAAGGAGATAATACATACAGTATTGTTGCCGATGAGGTTGTCCGATCGACGATGATAGAACTTCACGCAGTGTAACACATCAGTAAAACCTCACTTTTATTTTCTGCTATTATCTCACTTTACCCGCCTTGGCGCCAGCGCTAAGGCGCGAAAATGAATATAAGGAGTGTTAATTGGGTGTCCTGAATTTTCTCAAAGGCGCCACAGAGTGGCTAAGTGAAATTGTCGGTGCAAAGGGAAATAAGGCACGTTCAGAACGAAAATAGTAGTATATAGTCAAATTGTGTTTAAGTAGCTACACGCTAGTATCCAAAACAAAGTGAAGTCAAAATGCAATCTCGAATGCGTGGTGATCAGCGTATTTGTTCACATAGTAGGCTTGAAATGCGTCATATGAATGATAAAATTTGAGCTCCCGGGGCACAAATTGCACGCCATACATGGGAATAAGATGCGCAGCACAATAAATAGAGTCAATATGAATGACCGCGTACCCTGGAGCACTGTCTGCTCCAAATCCAGGACGAACTATCCACATTCCTGTATCTTCATCTGGGGCGTCGCCAACTTTGTCGAACCAGCTTATTAGAGCGCAGGGATATAACCTGCCCCGGTACCTGAATGAGAAAAATGCACGAACACGGGCGACTTCGAGGCCTTGCATGCCAGGCAAACTGGAGTCTGTGTTGACGAAAACACAGTCATGGCGCTGGTACTCGTTCCTGCCAGATGGGGCAAGAACGAATGTGTTCAACACGCATACCACCGATCCCGCTCAAATCACTCGGCGCATAGAATCGTGATGATGCGGAATTGAAGACCGAGATTTTGCTAAGATAGAGGGGACATTCGGCGAGGGGTATATTAGATGGGTCACGAGGATCTTTAGGATGCAACTGTTGGAATAAGAAGCGTCTGAGGAGGTCAGGTAGACTAGGAATATTGAGTTCTTCGGCAAGTGCAGGAATAGTTTGAGCACATTTTTTGCCCTCTGTACATAGTTTATTAGGACATTCAAAAGGAAGAAAAAGAAGTCTTACGGCGTGTTTTTGCCAGCTGGACATTTGTAGAACCGTCGGACCATCATCAATTTCCAGGTCCTCATCGATGCCGATCAGCAGAGGTGCTGGTGCTGGTGCTGGTGGTGCCGGCACATTTTCATCAAGTTCATTGATCTGCTGTGCGGGTACTATTGTGCACATTAGTATATAGGATATCTCACGAACTGTTTACCCACCCAAGGCGTCCATAGTTACTGAGAGGCAAGTACCAGTTAACATTCCCCGACGTGTGAAGTCAGCTCATGCTGCGGAAAGTTTGTCGAGCCGTTGGTTGGTCACAAGTATTTGACCAAGTGCATTATAACGGCTGGATCGTCTCCATGGCTCCTTGACCGCTTTGATGTGCTTGTTTTTAGTAATCGATGAGCAGAGGCCGTTTGGTGCAGCAAACAATCGTATGTTTTGGACATAGTGCTTGAGTGAATGTTGACGAGGTAGGGAAAAGGTAGGAACCACTCCTGTCGTCCTGAAGATGTTATGGTAATGGTGAAAGCGTGAGAGAGCGTCTTCGATTTCGACTAGAGTGTCTTCTGTGATTATGTTACGACGGACTAGGTAACAAAATTCGAGAAGTGCACAAAAGGTGCGCACGACATCTACGGGTACATGACCCTCGATGGCAGGCAAGTAGACCTGAAGAATTAATAAGTTCTGCGACCATAGCATGACTAAATTGATGAATTACCTTCATCAGGGCCTTCGAATCATCTCCTGTCCATTGCTTGAAGCCACGTCCCTGAGGAAATCGTCGCAAGCCTGAAAATGAGGCGACAGTGGCAATTCTAAGACAATGAGTAATGTTATGTAGTCTAAATGCGGTCAAGCTTACCTGCAATCAATATCATCCATAATTTGATCCGCCTTTCATTTCGTATGCGTGTGTCTGAGGTATTTCTCGACCCATTCGACGAGGTGGTCCTTGAATGCTCCTTTGATGAGTTGATGGAGAATATCCGGTGAGATCATCTGATGGATGTCAGCTCTGGGGAAGTCGTTCGTAAATGCCTGTTAAAATAAGATCATTAAGAACGGTGCTGCAAGGAGTGCGCTGATTCACATACTACAAGTTCCCCGACTATTCCAAAGTCATCCCACAGGTCACCTAAGGAACCTTCTTGAATGAGTGCTTCTGTGTATTCGTGACAACGACGTAACACATCTTCGTCGAGATCCTCGCGAGATGCCATACATCTGCAAAAAAAATTGTAACTTATACAAAGATACATACTAGATGACAAAAACGTACTTAGGGCACCAACCACGCATGATACATGCTAACAGCGCTTGCTCCTCATAATCTGCTATGTATGGCCCTAGTCCGTATATAACCCGACGGTAGTGACCGTCTCCAAAACGAGTGACTTCGGGGGTTGTCATGCCTGGTTTCAGCGTGTTGAGAATCTTGGAGAGTGACGAATAGAACAGCTGTCGATGGAATTTTCGGAACACTGCCTCGGTAGCATGTTCCTTTGTAGCTGTAAAAATCAGTTAGTCATTATCGTAGAAGCCCGCACCATGACGCACTTTTCGGCATAGCAAGGAAGCCAATGACTGCTACTCCATCACGATGGGCTCGTCGAACATTGTTGCGAATGTTCCCAATTGAGGCGTATAGCGGATAATACTCATTATTACCTGTCCCGACTGAAACTGTCGTTTTGTCACTGCCAAGGATGACAGGGACAAACGTAGAGCCGAGCGTGCTCGGGTCCTTAGCTATTTCATCCTACATACAGAATTAGCAGTCATTACCAGATGAAGACTGCACTTACTGCCTGATCCCATGCCCAGTCACCAGACATAAAATCCTTCCACTGGCGCTTGTCGCCCTCGGTTGAATATTCTCGATAGGGGCAGTAGTCTACTTCACTGGCGTATGTTGGATTTGCAAGCATATTGCACACGACTTCACGTGGGTCACGAAACCAGACTTCGTATTTGTCGTCCATCCACGGCTTGGTACCATCTTCAGGTCTCTCACCATCGTAAGTTACTGTAAAATTTTGCCAATTCACGTCCCCAAATGGTGAATTATCGATGACGTCATACAGATCACGATGATCTGCGAATGGCGGCTTGTCGCCATGTTTCGCAAGGGTAGACACCCATAAATCCAGCAACCGGTTGATTTGACCTGCCGGCATCTGATTTTGCGTATACAGGAACTCTGCCGTTTCGAATTCTGTACGATTGCGAAAGGGTGTCCAGTCACCAGTTGCTACGTTCTCCAAAGGTGGGGGTGGAGTGCCAGGGAGGAGGAATATACCATCCGCATTGCATGGTCTGGCTGTAATCACATTCAGCCACAGTGACAGAATCATGCGAATGAACTTACCATTGAGACCCGTATGATAGTTTTGATACAGGTGATCCCCAGGCCCAACGAATTCCATATCAACGTTTGGTTGAGGCGATGGTTGATGTTGGTGCTCCAAGTCGGCATATCCTTCATCCACATCCATGTCGATATCGTGGTCGACATGAGGCTGTGGGCTTGGCAGACGGGGCTCTGGTATGATGGGTTCCGGAGAGCGTTGGTGGTTGTCCTGAGGTAGTACTGGCGGGATGGGATGTGCTGAAATGTGATGTTTTGTTCGCCCGGCAATAGTTTTGAACCACCTTGGACAACTTCTACATGGTAGTTGGAGCGAACTATGGTCGCGACGGCGTAGTTGACTCCGTGGAATGTTATCGGGCATTGCAGCAATACTAGACTAGAATGATGTTCAGTTCTGGCGATTTGTACATTGAAAGGTGGAAAACTCACCAATCAGAGATCTGCGTGTTGAAAGGCGGAAGGATTACCAGTATTAGCTCTGGTGGTTCGCACACCGGAAGGACTGCCAGTATTAGTTCTGGCGGTTCACGCGTTGAAAGGTGAAGGATTGTCAGTACTAGTAGCTCTGGCACATTGAAAAGAGGAAAAATCACCAATAGGAAATCTGTGCGTTCAAAGGTGGAAGGATTGCCTATGTTAGCTTGGAAATCTGCGCGTTGAAAGGTGAGAGCTCTAGCAAACAGCAAAGTTGAAAAGAAAGACGGCAAACTTACGTCAATTAAGGACAATTCAGTACACATGCAGACCCAGTTGCAAAGGACGCTGTAAATGACTAGACTGACGAATTGAATCTTTAAAGTTTCGGGTTGATTTAAGTAAGGAACTTACAAATTTGCAGTCAAACTTCAACTACACGTTGTCCTTGACATTTTTTTCACCCATCTCAAGCTTGCCACAGCACTCATTTAATCTGCTACTTGTCAGCAATTATGTCCGATATCACTGAGGGAATCCGCACTCGCCGAGACAATAAGTTCAAACACCTGGGCTTGCCAGACCTGCCAGTGCAAGGACGGGTTCCGCAACGTAGCAAGGCCCAGAAAGCAGAGGACGACAAAATCCTTGAGGAAGCCCGCCAAGCTCAAGAGCGGGCTGCAGTTGAGGGGCTGCAGCGGCTTGCTGCAATGCAGATGGAGATGGAGGAGGCAGAGGAACAAGGCGTGGCGACTAAACCAAAGCCAGTCAAACCCCGTGCTCGCCCTGTCAAGAAAAAAGTAGTGCCTGCCAAACCAGTAAGAAGCTCCTGGCAGCAGGAAGCGCTGGTGTTACTAGTATCATGAATACTGACTCACCCAAGGCTGGTACCGGCGTCGAGGACCAAGAAGAAAGCAGCCAGGACACCAACATTGAGGACGGAACAAAGAAGAAGAACCAGAGGGCCGTCAAAACGTCTCTGAAGGACGCAATCAACAATGCATGAGGCTCACTCACAGGAAAGGTTGAGTTAATTCAGGGGCCACGTGTTGGCGACAAGAAAGGAAAGTCTTCTACCGCGACGTGTGTCTTTTTGTTCCGATCAAAACCACGATGTTGATGCTGACTGAATTGACTCTTTTTTTTCTTAACTTGACCTCAAAATTCAGGACCAACCCCAAGTTTTCATTGATAAAGCGCGTTGATGGTTGGATTTCTGATATTTCACCAGACGCAACCGAACTACTCAAAACTTCCAGCGCTTCTAAGACTCGTACCACTGCCTCAGCTTTGTCATTGGCGCATGGGCCACCAAGCAGTGCTTTATCCAGTTCCTGCGCTACATCAGTTTTGGCCATAACTACCAAGTCCTCCAAATCTAAGGCCCCCCCTGCTCTAGCTAATGCATCTGACGCTCCCAAGGCTCTTGTTGGCGGCTTTGATGACGAGTCGGATGATTCTCAGGAACGTTTGGATGCCTTCATTCAAAAGACGAAGGGGAAGCAGTCTTCACTTAGGGTGCGTACTAGATGTTTTGTAATAAATTCTAATTCTAATGCACAAAGCCAATTATATAGATTACCTCAGATGCAATGCCTGAGGATGCGCTGTATTCAACAGAGGACTTACAGGATATTGATATCAACGCACCGATGGACCTGGACAATGCATTGGTGGACCTGGAGGACAATTTGTTTGAGGGCAAAGATGCCAGGATGTCCAAGGCGGTGGACAGTGACAGCAGCCTAAGCGATGGAATCTTGTTCCGTCGGAGTAAGAAGCGCAAGCTTGCAGACACCAAATCCTCCACCCTCGTCTTGGAGAGTACCCCCTACGAGGATACATCAGATGTTGAGGTTATTGATGTCCCTTCAGGCCCTGTCGCAATGGCCAATACAATGAAGACGGCTGTGCGTTTGACCTCTTCAGTAAGCTTATTTTATTGATGATTATCACAACTTATATTCTCTGACAGACTGCCGTCGCCGTCTCCCAGTCGGCCACCACAAAGATGCAACCACCTGCAAAGAAGGTGAAAATTGAAGAGGACGTTGATGCCAGCACCACGCAACTAACGCTCACAGCCCCACCTGGCTATTGGATCGAGAAGCAATACAAGACGCGCTCGAGCTACCGAAACTATCATCTCCCTCCTCATTGCCAAGATCAACGGTGGCCGAAGCAGTTCCTCCCAACACTTTACCTGTGGGCCGGGAGTCAAAATGACCTCTGGCAATTCTTAGACGCTCCTCTGGTCAAGGCACTCCAATCCATTTATGATGTCGTGTATTCAGAAGAATCAGATCTTGATTACAAGGTGACCGCTCAAGGGTCTGTCTTTGGCATTGTAAGTCGCATTTTTTTTCTGTCACTATTACTAACGGTTACAATCTCAATCAGGCCACCCAACGTCTCGCAGAGTGGCGCAGCAATTTTGGATCAATGGGACTGGCTATTATGATGGATTTTTTCACTAGGAATGCTGACACTGATCCAGAAACACTTGCTGACGCGCTTCTGGAGGACTTCGCTTTCATTTATGAGGACATGGAAAACCTAGACCCGATGCAAGCCTTCCAGTCTCCATTCATGTTGCAGCTCTTCGCAACCGCTCATCTTCACGCCATTCTCGGGCATGTTGAAGTCCCCGCACTTAAAACATATGTGCTGTCCGTCGTCGGGATGACTGGTGTTATTGGCATTTGTGCAGCTTCAGTAAGTACTCTGTACATTCAAGTAACATTACTGATAATTCTACAGCTCGAGCGCGCCATCAAACGTCTCCGTGTCAATGCCATTGACATTGATGTGGACACCCTAGATCTGGGTCCCTGCACAAATGAAGCGCAAGCTGTGGACACCGAAGACCTTCAACAAGGCCACCGGCAAGGATAGCACTACCGAGAATGCCTTCTCCATCAACAACTGGGGATCAGTAACTGCGTCATACGTGGTTGCTATCAAGGCGAAAGGAGACGACTACATGAGGACCACAACATTAACGGCTCGGAAATTGCTGAAGAAATCGGGCAGTGTCGGCCTCCAGAAGTACTTTCGCACTGATGATGACGGCTCAGAGGCCGTTGACATCCGCGCCATCCTGTGGTAACGAAGATTGATTCTTTTTTTCCTTTATTGACGAGCTGATATCATTCTATAGATGTCATTTCTGCACTGCTCACTGCAAGTTTCCAATTGTGCGGCGCCCGTCTTCAAACCATTGCATTTTGCCTATCCCACCATCGCTCCGGTTTGCTCGTTTTGTTTTTCATTATCCGCATTTCATATCCTTTAATCTCCTTTTCTTTCGTTTTACATTCATTTTCGCTCTTACAATCACTGCCCTTTCTTCCTATTTTGACCACTTTTTCACACTTCACATCGCCATTTACTCCATTTTAACCAATGTTTTGTACTTTGTATTGGACAATGTGACGCTGTTTGCGCTATTATTACTGCTTTTTTTGTCGGTCAATGCCTAGTAAGTGACTTTTAAGAGCAATAAAGTAGAATTCAGAGGGCGAGTGGCCTTTTTCTCAAATTTTCCGCCATCTCTTTCATGTCACCCCAATGGCTCCTCAAACCCGGTTAAAGTGAGAAAATAAGGATAAATTAGGATTCATCACCAAAAATAAAAGTGAGGTTTTACTGATGCATCTAAGTTGGTATGTGTAACAAAGCTATGGAAAATCACGATTTAAGTGCATCCATATCTGCATTGTCCTGCAGAATTTGAATCCCGGTTAGATGTGAGGCATCTCCGTACCGGACAACAGTAGACCCAATCCTCTGTTCTGATCCAGATCCAATCGTGCTATATTCCACCACTGATAAACTAGCATTAGGTATTCTTGGAGAAGCTCTTAACAGATCTTCGGTGCACTCCAACACCCCAGTCGCTATCATGAACTTGAAAAATGATTTTATAAGCCATCCGTGCGATGTAACCAGAATGTTTCGACATCTTCCGTCAGGATTATTGGCAAGTGATGAGATGTATGGAACAATCTCGCGATTATACCACCCGGCGGATCGCTCGACCATGGCTTCCACGGGTTCAAGGGAGGGTTCACTTGGGTTCGCTGGCCCCTTGGTTCCTTGTAACTTCCCCATGAACTATGAGGAGAACCCACATAACGGTGAGTTCAGGATCACTGCCAGGGAGTTACAAACGCATAACTTACCCTCTCTCTCAGATCTTGATCTTTCACCAAGATGACATCGGGATGATGCTGCAGAATTATCTCAGCCGTCTGCAATCAACATAGTACATTTTAGATTTGATCAACCTTAGTGCCTCTCAAGAAACGTACCTTGGACGCTCTTGAAAGATCGCTCGTGAAAGCTTTGTCGAAATGGATCGCCTTCAACGCTTCTCCAGTCATAGAGGCCTGAGTTTCTCCTAGATCATTGAGCTGGGAATCAGCTTGACCTTGGATAATTCTTGCACGGTTCCATTCAGTCTCCCCGTGTCGGATCACATATAAACGAGCGATTACCGTCATGATTGCCCTAGTGGGGGTGAAAGAGGGCAAGGTTGGCAAACAACGCAGAGGCACAGATACGAACGTAATGATCTCACCGGCACCGGAAACATCCTATCAATACATCACCCCAACATATTCCTGCGATTTGAAAGTCAAAAATAATCATGCTGAGTGAATTTCTTATCTCACCAAATAGCATCAAACATCTGCTTATTCCTAATATGTAATACCCCTATGTAGTGTACGCCACGACAACGGGACTGGAGATTCATTTAGAAAGATACAACACGAGATACGATGTTACAGAATTACTACATAGGTACTGTCTTGAATGCATATGTGGAGAACAGTGGACATGCTTCGCTTGTTTTCGGTCTAGAGTTCATCGCCAGCGCTTTTCATCTTCTCCCCGCCCCATTTAATGCTTTCGGCAGCGCCTTTCACCTTCTCATTAAATCCTTGCTCCTGTAGCTTGCTCTTGGCACACTCAGCATAATCGGCATTCTTGCCTTTCGCATTATCGCCCTTCTGAGAGCACCAATGCCACGCGCTATCTTTCTTATCCTCCGCGTACGCACGGGCATCACTAGTCTTCTCAGAAGCGTAGTGCAAATGGCCACTCAGGAGCTAATGAAGAGTTAGTTCGAATGAGCAAACAATCGCACGTAAACCAACCTCGAGAATTCTGGCCAATCTATCCTCCACCGCGCCAACGCCACTGTTAATAATCTCATTCAGCTTTGTGAAGATTGTCTCAGCACGGTTAGATGTCTGAACCCAGCGGATGCGAGTCTCCTCTGCAATATATAAACACCAAATAGAGGAGATGAAAATTTAGACACGTACGCAATAACCCGGGTCTATTCGTGGGGAGTGCAGCTTCGCTGACACCACGCTCGCGAAGGTAAGCACGTAAACGAGCATCCGGCCATACGAGGTATGCAGCAGTGCGCGTAGAAACGTCGTTATATCTAAATAGGATATCAACACATATCAAAGCGCGTCGGAGGAATGGTACGCACTGCCTATCGATCAAGCTCACCAACTCATCACGCTTTTTTTGTGCAAAGTTTCTATCATCAGTGTATCCGTGTTGAGAAAGCCATCGACGAATGTCTGAATCGTTCCAAGCGTCCCATACGCTGTCCGAGGCAGAAGCGTAGTTGTCCCTGTAAAGTGATTAGGATCTGGCAAAAGATGAAGGCGCACTACTGACTCGACCATCTTTACCAGTTCATCACGTTTCTTTTGTGCGTCACTATTGAGGAGACCATGCTTGACGAGCCAAGACTTCAATTCACTGTCAGACCAAACACTCCAAACCTTGTCGGGTGAGGAGTAATAATACTTCTTCATCTCCCCAAGTAAGGTAGAGCGTGATGCAGTATCGGAAGGTGAAAGAAGGTTATGCGAAATTAGCCATTCGCGCTTCAAAATATGTCAACAGAATCCACAACTCTGAAGCAGGTATATACATACCATATACGAGTCGCTCCAGACGTTCCATACTGGCTCTACGGCTGTACGACAATAGTCGTTGGCGAGTTTCGTGAGCTCGGTGCGGGTGCTAGCCTTTCTAGCTTCAACTACTCCGTGATCTTCGAGCCAAGATCTGAGATAGTTATCATCCCAAGCTGAGTATACATAGTCCCTGCTGTCGTCGAAAGCACGAACAACATCATGGGTAGCCTGAGCTACGACGCTGCTCGCACTTTTAGACGCGTGGTATAATGTATCTGTAGCATCGGAGTATGCGGAAGTGGCGGTTTCAGATGCAATGGAAGAGTAGTATGATGCGGCGTTGATATAGGAGCGATGCTTCTGTTTAGCAAGCAAAAGAAGCTGTTCGCGGGGTCCAGAAGGTGCTACCACGCCATGCTCGAGCAGAAATGCTCTCAATTTGCTCTCGTCCCAGGTGTCGAAGGAATTCTCCTGCAAGTCCTGGAATGCGTGCTGAGCACGAGTATATCTATCATAGCTCCATTGCCTGCTTGCATCAGCGTATGCACGAGACTGTTCAGCAAATGACGGGGGTGGAGGAGGGGGAGAAGCCCAGTTCGCCGCTACGAGGTCGTGAAGCTGAGATTGATCAAAATGAGAGGGGACCTTAATGTGGTGGTCTTCAAGCCAGAAGTGCAAATCGGAATGGGACCATTTGTCATATTCAGAGCCAAACCAGCTCGATGCGTATGCTGAACCGATGAAGAGAATAACATAGACAGAACGCCTGAAGTGCATGTTTGTGTTGAAAGAGGAGCAGAAAGGATAACGGGGGAGCACGTACTTATAGGAGCCCTGATTGAGATGACGTCAGTAACACCAAGTTCATGACACATGGCTCCAAATAAAACGGAACCAACCTTTACTAGTGCAATTTCGATCAAATTCTTCACAGCCATTCTCTTCGCAGACTTGAACTAGACCTGACAAGCCGCCGCGTCAAGGGATCACAAGTGTATCTTTCACTAGGGTTCGGATTCGGCCCTTCACCTTGCTCCGTGGCATGCGGTTTTTCTCGGCAGCTTGTTCGTCGGGCGAGCAAACACCATATAGAGTCATTCGATGCAGCGAGCGCTATAAGAAAACCACATTGAATATTGAATATTGAATGTCAGAGGGTTGTCAGAGGGTGTGTACAACTTGATCGAAGGCTATAGTAGGCGTTAATAGTACAGCCCCACTTTGGATGACTCATGTGGAATAATCACGGTAATCACATATGAAGCCAACTCAAATAATTTACGCCACTTGAAGCTTGAAATGGGCATCATAGTACAGAGTCTAGTTGGTATCAATATCCAGCTTACATTCTATTTTAAGGGTAGGAATGATGGCAATGAAGTCGCCCTGCTGCTCCGGCGGTGGTATTACTACAGCGTCGAAAATCAGTATCTCCAGGGGACATTTCGACCGTCTGAGAAACGTCAGCAACTCTTCATGAGGGGACGACAGAAATCCATAGCGAATTTCGAGGGTGCGCAACTTAGGGAGTATGAGTGCTCTGAACAGTATAGGGAGTGGGTTAGATTCGAAGCGCCCGGGACAAATGATGCACAATGATCGAAGATTCGCATGTGTAAACCTCATGCACTGAACACGAGTATCCATGGACACTGGTTGACTGAAGATAAGCTCGCACGAGGAGAGGTTGGGACATAGAAAGAGGAAATGGAACACATTTCGCGGACGAATGGCGATCTCGACGTGTGTTAGGTGGGCCCATACAGGATTGAGAGAATGTAAACAGTCCGGGCCAAATATCCGGTCTATGATCTTGAGACTACGCACAGTGGACGGTAGCTGCGAGAGAGATTGTGCAATGGCTGAAGCATCGAACCAGTCGCCAAAGCATACGGTAAGCTCCTGAAGTCCTGCAGGGAGGTCTTCTAGCAAATGTTCTGGTTCAACATCGTCCCAGAATACGATATCAAGAGATGAGACTCGGCTCATGCAAGGTTGAAGAAGCTGTCGTAATTTGGCCGTCCCACCTTTGGCGTATCCAGGGCGGAGTTGTAATGAGAGTGGATAGTCTTGTGATCGCTTGAGCCATGAATCATAGTAGAAAATTGACCGCTTCCATTCGGTGCGGTCATCGCCGACGTCAAAAGAGAGTTTGCACCACAAGTTGGCCATGCGCTCAGCAACATCCCTCCATCGGTGGCATACTCTGGCCAACTGCATGGGAGACGGGTTTGATCTGCGGCTCAGATAATTGCTGTCCATAAGATAGTAGTCAAAAATCTTGGACAAAACTTTAGTTGGAAAGCGCTCGAGAGCCGATCGAAGTCCTTTGTTCAGGTTCGCCGACTCAATGATTTTATCATGCTTTTTCGCAAGCTGATGGCCAAGGTCTTTTGTTTTATCCATGACAGTGTGCGCGAGGTCCAAGGTCTCGTGCGAGATCACGTCCAACTCTTGATGTCGTTCAGTAATAATGGTATTGATATCCTGGTCTTTGAGCCCCAGGGCAGAGCGACTAAACTTTCGCGACCTGCAATACGGGGTACCAAGGCCTAGGATCTTGTCATCGTCAATATGGCATCAGTTTTGATACCATCAGAGATAGATAATGAATAAACAAACTGGTGTGACCGCTCGTGAATGCATCAGCTAAAACGATTGACGCTTGTCATGACACGATTGCTGGTGATTTGCGGAATTGATCACTCACAATATTTTGTGGTGTATCTGAGGACATCGACTCCCCGGTTTGCTGTCGTCTTCTGGACTTTCTGCATGTTGTTTGCTAGAGCCGAGTGGAGAGAAAATGTTGACTTAAGTATGTTCGAGGGGGACAAAGATCTTAGACGGTGAAACACACAAAACCATCCTTTCTGCAGCGCTGATCTTTGATGTTCTGTGTTTTTAGACAACAGAACACACATGGAGAATAAGCAACAAAGACCCGGACCATAATGCATAATGTATGACGTTGCGTTGGAACTGAGTTGCAGCCACCTGCATGGATTATACTCCCGACTCCCACGATAAATGGCTTGGTTTCAAAACTGTACCAAGGTCCAACGACAATCCTTCGTAGGCCTGATAGTTTGCAAGTTTGACTCATGTGCTTAGTTCGAAGTCAGGCGGGCTACATCGAGGTCCTCAAGTACCTGTGCTTGACCTAAGGCCCCTCATTTGTTCCGCCATGATTCTGTCTTGAATCGTTTGGGAAATGGATTGCTGACGATTTGAGAGCCGGTTGACTGCGGAAACAAAAGTCGTTCCCGAACGAGAAACATAATCCATTACGGGGGCGAGGAGTTGAGCGGAACGACCTGATAAACGTTTGTAGCCTTGTCACACGCAGGTGGTGAACCAAGCCACATCACGCACGCTAAGCATTTGACATATTGGAAATTGAGCAATTTGAAAAATGACAGTACTGAGCTGCTAGCTATATAGGCCAGTACCAGAACACTAGCAGCTGCCGGTATACTAGCTAGAATATCGCACCGCACTCGATGAAAGTAAACATGGCGTCTTTGTAGGGGATGGTCGTAGTAACAGCTACATTTAGGCCAAAGACGATATGCGATTTCGGACCAGACGCTGAGAACAAAATCAAGCGCGAACCAGCTTTCATTGAGGGTTAGGCGCCGGCTTTAGCAGCATAAGAGTCAAGGCACGCAGGAAACCACTGAGCTGAACAAAGACAAGTATTCGAGGCATTCGAGGGCCGCTGGCGCCGTTACAATAATGTCTACTGCCGTGTCGGCACCCTTTCTAGAGAGCGCGAGGTTCCAATGCTTCCACCTGGCTCGCAGCTGTCTTCTTGCCATCATGCGGCAAGGCCCGACTTCGGAAAACTAGGCCTACTATGTACTTTCATACGGTGTGTATGTAAACCTGGAGCAAGTCTTTTAAAAAAATTTCGAATCTTTGTACCAGCCGCTACAAGCTTTATTTCAACAGTAACTCTTACACTGGCACCTACTGGCACTATCCAATATGATACATCTCCACTCCTGGAAAATCAATCATCGCTTACTTGCGCTCACTTCTGGTAATCAAATAACTTATGGCAGTACTCATCACCTCAGCGTGAACAACCGATCGTTGCAGAATTCCAGCATGTATCCTGGACCGGCCTCGGCCGGCATTCATAGGCGGGAGTCTAATGGCATATTTCGCCCGTTTTTGGGGGTCCGGAGTCAGAAGCGTGTTTTCTGAACCAACTGCTGTACGGGTGAGCTATGTGTGTATTTCCATTCCTTCCTCATGATCAAGGGGAACTTATTATCTACGAGCCCCAACAGATTCATTAGAGAAGTAGAAGTAGCTTCCAAGATCGCAGAGTAGTAAGTGTTGTTTACGATTCAAAATAATGCATATACCCTGATGAACGACCCGGGCATTTGTTCATAAGTTCGCCCCAAACAGATGTTGAGATAATCCATGGCAAATCTGCGGCACCAAACATTCTTCTGGGACGATTCATGTCTTGCTACTAGTGAGTCACTACCCAAAGATAAATTCTTTGGAGTTTTATCTGTTCCTGGCTCATGTGTTCTTCAGATACAAATACTTACTTATCATGACCTCTGAATGGGTGGCGTGGAGGAGGTGAATTATATTGCATCATTTCAATCACAAAAGAGTACTGATTTGTGCATGTATTAACACATTTCTGTTGGAATATTCAACGTTACACAATGATGCATTAGGAGACGGCTGACTTACCACCATGCCACCCTTTCCGCTGCTTCCCGTATAACAACCACTTCACTGAGTTATGGTATCGTCGATATATTTGCCTACTGGAGTAAGCTCATTCGATTTAGGTTGACTGCAATTATTGCCCACTGTCATGTTCTCGCCTCTGGTGCCCTTCTTCGTTGACACCCTTCCTACATAGGCGATTTGGATTGACCAGGCGGCACAAATGAGGAAAACCACATTCATCACAAGCTCGCGCACGCTGAACCCGGGTTCTTTCCAGAAGCAGAAGCTACGATAAAGGCCACTGAAGGCGTTAAGTCCGCCCGTCGTAGCTGGAATCATAAGAACATCAGCAGCCACTCTTTCGGTTTAGCATGAACAGTTCACCAAAACTGTAAGTCGCAGACGGAACTGATCAGCCTGAAAAGCGTTAAAGTATCCAATACAGAACAATGCGTACTATATTTTCCCCGCTCTGCCTAGTTTTTCGTTGCTTGGACTCAAGGCTTCGCGGAACTGTGCTTGCGCTTTTGGACCCCACTCGGAAATACTGCTTCCGGCCTGCTTCGGTGCTACTAGTCGAAGACAGCACCAATAGCATCCGACAAAAAACACGCATGCGAGAAATATGGACCTCGCCCCAAGCATGTACACGGCAACATAGTCGGCATATGGCGTCAGTACCGGAATGGTTGAGCCAAGATAGATAAAAATGACTGCAATGCTGGCTCGCAAATTCTAGATCATCGTAGTCAAGAAGAAATTCACAATTCACCAGAAACCATTGATGATGTTAGAACTGTCAAGGAGTAGTGGTCAGTTTCATATCACAAATTCTCTCTACTAACTGTTTGCTTACAGGAGAACGATACCAGTACCGATGACTCGCAAGACGTTCTTGACAGTCAACTTCTCAGTCGGCGATGGAGGAGGCCCAGGCACGTTTGACATGATACTGTTCAATTTCACTCGTGAAGGTGAAAAATGATGCTAGTATCGGGGCTGAGTGGTATACTTATATGCACCGCCAGCTGCCGAGGCGTTGGACAGTAGCCTCACTGAGCCGATGTGAATGCTATTCTGGCCATCAATGCTGCGGACTCACGATGTCACATGTTCAGGTACAACACATAATTCGTAACGGCAGTGTTTCATCGAACAAAAATATGTATCCTCTACTTGTTGCATCTCACGCCCAAGATGCAACTTGAAGTCACAAATCCAATTTTTGTTACTATACTTCACCTGTACGTCCACTATACTCAATGAGCTATCTCCGAGCGAGTTAATTTTTGATGCATGTAGCCTCCGCACTGCGGTAATGCTTTGGTGAGGATCTTCCATGAAGAACTGCGGAGATGTCTTGCTTGTAACTTCTGATTTTGCAAACTTGCTATAACATGGGGATTATTTTCCTGCATCTTGCTCATATGAAGCCTGAAATTAAGTACTACATACATGTTCCATGCTGGAGCACATGCAATTGTGATGGGTGCTCTTGCAAGGAAGAATATCAATGAAGCAGTAAAACCACAGTCAAGCACGTAAACTATGCACAAAACCAAATGGAGGACATTTGGGAAAATGAGAAGCCTTGAGGAGTTTCTGAGAATGTAGATTTGTTAGTCTGATTGATGTGCTGAGCCTGTGCAGAAGCTGGTCCTAGATCTTTTTTTTTTGTTTTCACTGTGATAAGGAGTTTTTTGAAGCCAATTAATAGGTTGGCATTCAATGTCTTCAGCTTGGTCCTAATAGCTTTTGAACACATTCGATAAGCCAATAAAATGTCATAACAGTACAAAAAAAGTTAGAACAGCACAAAACTTCAATAAATCCAAATGGACCAATGTGGCTTTTGGCAGATACAAGCATTAGGTTATGGTTGATGCGCTCTATCATCCTCACTGTATCATCCTACAATTTTTGCATCTGCTGAAACATTTTGTATATGTAGCTCCACCCTGCTCACTTAGTAACTGCCTTTGGTGTACCAAGTGAAGCTCCAATGTGTCCTCTCTAGTTATGTCCATAATTCATTTGTCACATTCTAAGTTTAGTTTCACTACCAAAATACTGCAGTGCCTTGGTGTCATATCCCATGTTCCGGACCTGGACCAATCACATAATCATCTCCAGACTTCTGGACTTCCAGATCTGGTTAGCTTCTATCTTCCGTGCCTTTTCCCTTTAGTATTTCCCTTATCAGTTAGTATGCTTTATTTTCTGTCCCTTATTCATTTCTGTCTTCATTTTACTAAGTTCCGATAGACTAGTGTTAGGTGTTCCACATGCTCCGTCCATAGCCTCGCACTGCACTAACTGATTCTCTGTTATGTCCTTCATAGTATATAAACCCTGTAAAGTCTCTGTATTTCCTCAGTTTGAATATTATCTTAGATTCTGCTCATTCCCTCCTCCATTTGACTTGAGTCTCTTCTCATCGTCTCTGACAGTCTTAGGATCGACTCCTATTGACTTACCACCTCTGCCTCTACCTTAGGTAGTCCTCCGCTGTTTCCTTTCTAGTTTGGACATCGTCTGGATTAGTCTTATCACTTGTTCCCGAACATTCCACTGGAATTCCCGTGCATCGGACTCCGGACTCTGGACGTCGTCCTTTAGCCCTCGGAAGTTAGGGGCACGTACTCGGGTAAGGGGCGCAGTGCATGAGCTGAAGCCAAGCCCTTCAGATCTGAACCCTTGAGCATGTTCTTAACAGTATATTCGAACTCACACCTTACCGAGTATACTTACAACTAAATTCATGGCACCTACAAACACTCAGACCAACCTCCATGCAGCGGGCTTAGTAACCGCCCGACACGACTCTACTCCCATAGTCAATGCATTCACTAGCTTCTCGCAGTGCCACACCAGCATGCAAGGCACTGCATCCAGCATCTCTCAACTCATGAATCATCCGCACCCAGAAACCCCAACTCGTACACCAGCCGGATTCCTACTGGAAAACAAAGATACTCTGGGCGGAGATCCACTGGATGATGAGGGAGGTGACCCAGATGATGAACCTCCAGAAGACCCGACCGACAATGAAAATGAAGGTCTCGGTCCACAAGACTTGGTCTTCCTCTGCCTTTCTCAGGCAATCAATAACCTGGCACGTAACAACTGCCGGTCTGCCATCCCTGATGACTCTAAAATCAAAGTCTGAGAACCGGACACCTTCAATGGCACTGAGCCCCGGAAGCTCCGGGCGTTCTTTGTTCATTGTGAGCTTAACTTTCAAGCTAAGCCAAAGTCTTTCCACACCAGCTGTACCAAGGTCAACTTCGCGCAGTCATACCTCAAGGGCATGGCTCTTGAATGGTTTGAACTGGACCTCCTTTCAGATGATCTCATCGATTGTCCAGAATGGATGGACGACTACTCCGAGTTCATGTTAGAACTCCAAACTAACTTCGGACCTCATGACCTGGTTGGAGATGCAGAAATGGAGCTGGAACAGCTCTATATGCGTGATGGACAGCGTATCAACAAGTATGTTGTAGAGTTCCAATGGCTCGCTTCCCAAGTCCGAGGTTGGGGCAATGGAGCTTTGCACCATCAGTTCTACAATGGACTTCCGGCTCGCATCAAGGACGAAATCAGTCGTCAAGGAAAACCCACCACTCTTTCCCAATACAAAACTCTCACCCAGACTATTGATGCTTGATACTGGGAACACAAGGGAGAAGTCTCCTGCAAAACCAAACCCTCCGCATCCACCCCTCCTGCCAAGCAGTCAGCTTCGACCTCTGACCGGAAAGATTATTCCAGTGGAAAATCTGGAACCGCTTCGGCTTCCTCCTCCACCAAATTTCTGGACTTGACATCCAAGCTTGGAAAAGACGGCAAACTCACCTCCGAGGAGTGCCAGAGGTGCATGGAGAAGAAGCTCTGCCTCTTCTGTGGTGGACCTGGTCATACTGCCTGGGACTGCCTAAAGTCCACTTCCTGTGCAGCCAAAGGTCGCGCTAGCATGGTAACTCCTGAAGCCATACAGGAGGTCTCGGAAGAGACAAAAAATTAGTCCGCAACCCTCCTGACTCTGCGTGGGACGAGGGTTGTGTTAACTCAACCTGCGCAATGGAGCTACGTCTCAATGCTGTTTCTCTTTCCGATCTGAACTCACTTATGCCAAATGTTTCCATTTCTACTTTTCTCGATATCTCTCTGTTTCCGGCCCTTGTAGATTGTGGTTCTTCCCATTGTTTTATAGAAACCAAACTAATCTGAGAAAATAACATCCCTACTTATGCAATCTCTCTGCTTCCGCTCCATCTGTTTGATGGTACTTCGAATGCCACTATTACTGAGGCTGTAGATTTACCGATCTGTTTCCCGACTGGCATGATTACCTCCGAAACATTCTATGTTACTCTGTTGGACTCATCTTGTTCCATTGTTCTAGGATATAGCTGGCTCACCTGACACAATCTGTTGATTGACTGGGTAAAGGGCAGCATCAATTTCCATCCGATTCCTCATGGAGTGCCTCCGACCCCTCCGACCCCACTTCCGCTGCTTCCAGTGGAAATCCCTTCCCCAACACTGCCAAGTCCCTCTGCTGATAATGCCGTTCCCAATATTTCCCTAATCAATGCAGTTGCCTTTTGCCAGGCCTGCAAGTTAGAGGGATCAGTCCAGTTCAGTATTTTCGTCCGACCCACCGGTGTCAATCTCTGCTCCGCTACACTCTCCTCTGAACCTCCAAACATGTCCGGAGTTCCTTCAGATTATCACAAGTATGTGGATGTCTTTGATAAAGGCAAAGCCGGACAACTCCCTCCCCACCGTCCCTATGATCTAAAGATTGATTTGGAGGAAGGAGCGGCTCTGCCCCTTGGCACTATCTATTCCCTTTCTCCGGTTGAGCTTGCAGCTCTTTGCAAATTCCTTGATGAGAATATTGCAACTGGACTCCTTCGTTCCTCATCCTCCCCACATGGAGCCCCTGTCCTGTTCGTCAAGAAGAAGGACGGCTCCCTACATCTCTGCATAGATTTCCGAGGCCTCAATAAAATCACAAAGAAAGATCGCTACCCGCTTCCCCTCATTTCTGACCTTCTCGACTCTCTGAGCCGCGCAAAAGTCTACATTAAAATTGACCTCCAGTCTGCTTATCACCTAGTCCAGATAACGGAAGGAGACAAGTGGAAAACTGCTTTCTGAACGCACTATGGCTCATATGAATGGTTGGTTATGCCCAAGGGTCTCACCAATGCTCCAGCAGCTTTTCAATGCTTTGTCAATACCATCTTTGCTGATATGCTTGACATATGTGTTATTGTGTACCTCGACGACATCCTCATCTATTCCCACGACCTTGCATCCCATAAGCAACATGTCCTTGAAGTCCTCTGATGCCTCCGGAAGCATTGTCTATATGCTAAACTGGAGAAGTGCGAATTCCATTCCGACTCCATAGAATACCTCAGCTACCTCCTATCTCTGGCTGGCCTTACCATGTCTTCTGATAAAGTTCAGACTATCTGTGACTGGCCGGAACCCCAGAAAGTTAAGGATATTCAATCATTCCTCGGATTTGCCAATTTCTATCATCGCTTCATTTTGAACCACTCGGACATTGTAGTTCCGCTTACATTGCTCACTCGCAAGGATGCTCCCTGGAATTTCTCCGAGGATTGCCGGAAATCTTTTGATACTCTCAAGAAAGTCTTCACCACCGCTCCGGTGCTTACGCACTGGATGCCAGATGTTCCTATTGTCGTTGAGATGGATGCTTCTGATTATGCTATCGCTGGAATACTTTCTATCGTATGTCTGGATCAGGAGCTCCGCCCGGTTGCCTTTTACTCTTGAACCCTCTCGGCTCTGGAACTCAATTATGACACTCATGATAAGGAACTTTTAGCTATCTATGAAGCTTTCCGGTCCTGGCAACACTACCTTGAAGGCTCTGCCGAGCCGATAGACGTTGTCACGGATCA